CAGGAGTACAAGGACTACAACAAGCAGTGGGGACATCAGAAGCAGTGGAAGGACTATAGCACTTCGACCTGGAATGATTATGGGGACTATGGCAGTCAATCCGACAGCAGCCGCCGATGGTATCGTCGATCCGACTGACCATGAAGATACGTTCAGCACTACGAACAATCCAGATGGTTGATCCTCGCCGTCTACAAGACTATACCATGAGTGAGAGATCAATAGTTTCACAATCGTTCCGCGTGTACATAGCGTTGTACATCACCCTTTGATACATTTAGGTATCCAAAAAGAAGCAGTACATAGTGTTTCCCATTTCGAAGGCCAAGACATTTCATCCAAGCAGAAAAAGGATGAATCCGGCACTTTTAATCACATGGCTACGGCACACATCAAGGCTACGGTCAAAGGCCATGAAGCCAATAGTATTTCATACTTTGTGCTGGAGATCAAAAGAAATTTGTGTCTGTTTTGCGTTCTGTTTTTTTCAGACCATTGATCTCCCGCAACATTTGGCTCAAGGGCCCCTTTTGCAGAATCACGACCATCCGAGCGTGAAGACAAAAGAGCCATTGCAGGCCGCTTACAGGATTATCCACAAGACAATCCACCAGGGACAATCCATCCTCCAATCATCCATTACTGGCATATTGGACTCTCTCCGGAATAGATCAAGGGACCAACAACGACCTCAACTACCACAGGGTTCCAGTTCCCTCCGGGGATAGGCACCTGGGGCAGTGGGCCTCACCCCCCCCCCCCAAACACGAAAAAAACGAAAAACAAAGTCGGGAGGCGCCAGTCCTGAAATTTCATAAGTTCACGCCCAAAATCGGCCAACTACTATCCCAGAGATGGCTTCTAAAACTTGAGAGCTTGAGGCGCAAGAGCCGCGTGAACTTGCCGCCAGCAATTTGTGAAGCGCGCCTGGGACGACCGATCGCTGCAAGCCATTGCTGACTAAGGGTGTGCTTGTGGGCATTCCGAAGAAGTGGAAATTGATTTCCCCCCCGGCTTTCTTTATGTTTGGCTTCTTTTCCGGGCTTTAGTGGAGGGACTTGGCTCCATTGACTGCAGGTAATCTTGCCAAGAACATCGTTCCGGAAACGCGCAGCGGCGGCGTGCGATCCCGTAAAACTCGTTTGCGCGTGTCCAGGACATGCGCGCAGGCTCTTGCAGGTCTGAATTGACCACCGGCTGACAGACTGCGTGGAGTTCTGTCAGGATTTCTTTCAGCCGTGAAATCACTAAATGGCCGCGAAACCGTGATTCCGTGAAACGCGGCCGAAACTCGTGAGACGCCCAAATGCCTTGAAAGCCACTTATTCAAGGTCGAGAGACGCATCGCCGCCCAATAGCGTGATCAACTGAATGTCAATACTGCCCCCTAGCATTCTTCGTCCCACCAGTGCAGAGAAAGATACGTCATATATTAGGGGCTTCGTAGATCCGTTCTGAAAGTGTTTTCCTGCAATGGCCCTGTGACAAGGGCTGACGTCTTCTTGGGCAAGCCCGGCGCAACAAAACAAAACTCGAACACTTAGGGTTTCCCCTTCTCTTTGTGGGCCCCGTGAGTTTCCCTTGCTGCGCAAGCGAGCACGGTCAGTTATGTGTTCCCAAACCCTTGGCATTATAGGGGAACCCTTTGGAATCCCTCTTGGCAGATCGCACATGCTGACGGTGAACTCGCATTGACTGTGTGCGCAGCCATACACTCTGTAAGCGCAGCAAATCAGCCAACTAACCTGGATGTGTCTTGAGTTGCAACGGACCTTGTACCCAATGCGTCTTGAGGCATGTAATCACACGTTGAAGCCGGCGCATGCCCAGGGCAAAGCTGCGAACTGCTTTTCTATGGGGCATCAGAATGCAAATGGGGCCCGCGCGCGGTCGCACATATCACGAAACCAGCAATCGTGAGAGCATTCAAAACAGCCCGACATACATTAGAGTCTCTTTTGCGAAGGCGAAAATTAGAGTCTTTTAGCCTCTCTTGGTGTGCGTGGAGATGTTGGCGAAGGCGTCATTCGTGATGATGACGGGTCACCCATGCCGAACGTCTTCCAATACCCACATTGTTTCCGGTGTCCACTTCTGAGCCCTTCGCGCGGCGCACGCTGGTGCCTTTGCAGCTCGAGACCATCGGGCCAGAGCTCTGTCACTGTCGCGAGACACAACCTGAGTGTCGCCGCACGAGTTGCCTTTCCTTGTGCCAACATCTACCGGCAACACTTTAGCGTAGTGTCAGAGATACAGAGGTTCCCGGATCGCACGTTCTAAAACAGAGGCAGCGCCGAGGTTGGGCGTCAAGTGGATTTTGGATGCCTTACGAGGGAATCATTGACCAACGCGTCAGAGAGGCAGCAAAGCATTACGGGCACTTCTGAAGGCACAAGGTTGCAGTCTTGGGCATGCTCATTGCCTTCTGAACATCATCAGAGGTGCGTGCCGCAGTTGCTTTTGCAGATGGCTGGGCGGCTGTTGCCAAGAGTGCAGAAGAAAGCTGCGCGACACTGCAGCAGTTTTGCAATGTGATGATGCTCCCCATTTCAGCGAAAACATGTTGGACACCAACCGCTTCACGAGGCGCGCGATTTGGTTGCTCCGCCTTGTGTGTCAGACTGAGACCATACGCAGCAGGAAACTGCAGCCCTCAGATGGGATTGCCAGAAGCATCGGACGGGGAGCGGGTGAGAACCCTTTTCTTGCACTTCTCTTCACGGAACCTGCGCCAATTGACCCTGAGTGTTGCATGTTGGGACGAACTGGCGCCTACAGGCTGCAAGCGAATTCCCCTTTGACTGTCTCTTTTGCAACTTGCTGCCAACCAAACGGGTCAGCCAAAGCTTCGGGTGGTTCTCTTAAATGCTGGGGCCTGGCAGTTTCTTGCGCAGGGACTGTCCTGAAGAACGGTTTGATTCTCGATGTGCCTGGGCACCACAAGCAAACCATTCACCAACTCCTTGCCTTGCCCTTGAACTGTGAGCAGCGGCGCCAAAAAGAAACGCAAACATGTTGACGTGGAGAATCTTGATGTCTCACAGCAGTGCAGCGTGGGCCGGAGTCTCAGCGAGAGCGAAAGCGCGCATCAACGAAGTGGCGAAAGCGACTCAACCTGCCTCTTTCTGCCAGCACAACGAGGGTGGAATTCATCACAGGTTCCACTGCTCTGAGCTGCACAACCTCAGTGTCATCCTCAGGAGAAGCGCTTATGAAATAGACTGTGTCTCAAGCCAGATTGTTCCCGGAGTTGCGCAGGGTTGTTGACCTTTTACCAGACCATTATGACGCGTGCCGAGATCCTGACAAAGCAAACGTTAGTTGGGAGGCAGAGAGTGTTCTCATCATCAAGCTGACAAGCGGGCCAAGAAGGCTGTAGAACAAGCAGGACCAGGCATGGCTGCTACCTGCCAGGCAGCCAAAGCCATATAGGGGAAAATTCGGGGGCAACTTGACACCTTGCGTTCTGCGCGAGCAGACGCTTTGAACAAAGTCGCACTCGTGCGCCACTGCAGGGTGATGAAGCCAGACTTGAGAAAGTGCTTCAAAATACGAATTGGCCTGTTGCATTTTTGAGGATGGTTTTGACCCACTTTAAGCAGCTAACATGGTGCCTTGCAGCGTTTCCACCAGTGAACGGTGGGAGATCGGCAGAGCTGTGCCTAGATTGGCTCCTGCCGAGGAAAGCAGATCGCCCCCGTGCGAATGCCAAGGTGACTATAGCTGGCGACAGCTTGTTGATGCGCAAACCCCCAACTTGGTTTTGGTCTTGAGGGTCCGTGTTGGCTCCAAACAAGTCTTACTACATCTAAGGCGCGTTTTTTGCGTGATGACCGGGCTCACTGCGCAGGGCAACGCAGGTTCAGTCCGATTACATCAGGGACTGAATCCTGAACAGCGAGAGCTACTGAGGATTACATCTGTTTTCCTTTTCACTACAGTAGCATGGATGAACAACATTTGTTTTCATCACTACTGTCAATCCTGACATTTCCACCCCAGCTGTGGGCTGCGACCAGCTGCTGTGCAACGACGTGAACTGCACGGACGTGTTCACAACGGGCGTGGACGCCTTGGGGGCGATCTCCTGCGCAGCGATCACGGCCACCGGCGCCGTCTCGGGCGCCACGCTGACGGCCACCGGCGCCGTCTCGGGCAGCTCGCTGAGCATCACGGGAGCGGCCAGCGTGGGACCGCCTTTGTTTGCGGCTGTCAGACACTCGTGCGAAGGTGGAAAGAAAGAAAGAAAGGTTGATGAATTATTGCGGGCAAGTCGAAGGGGTAGACCTTCTTTGTTTGAAGAAGTTGGGCCCCTTTTAGATGCCAAGGCGATACTGATCTGAAACCGACTTCTCAAGGGGGGGCCCTGGTTACGACCCGCAGACACTGCCTAAACTAACATGGATTGGCGTGGCGCTTGCCTGGCTTGGCTTGCGGCCGCTTGCTTCTTTCGACACGGGCGTTTTCTTGAGGATGTCCTTTCTTGGCTGTTTAAAGACAAGCCGCAAGCGAACAACAAATTTGAGGGGCCGCGGGGGTCAGCCTAGTGCCAGCAGTGCCTTTGTCGGACTTGAAAAGGAACCAAATAAAAGGGCCTTTTGGGAAGCCTCGAGAATCATGCGGCTGGCCTACTTTGTTCCCACAGAACAGAAGGTAAAACGCCACTTCCTGCATCAGGGTATAAGCCACGATGTCAAGCCGGGTGAGACAAGTAGCAATATAGCCGTGAGAGCAGACCAAACCCCGTGTTTACAGAAAAATCAAAGACAATCCCTGGACAATCCCTTGTTAAGTTGGTGAGTTTCCCGCCAAGCTCACATTGTGCCACACCAAGAAGCCAGAACCTCCAAGGGTCCTTTACTCGTGTTTTGATCCACAGGGACCATCGTCTAGACACCTTTCATGGTTCAAACATCATACGCCCACGTCAAAGTTTCCTTTACGCGCAGCGATGTTGCACATGAACTACAAGGGCAAGGGCATGTGGCACCCATTCTCAGGATGACAGACAGCAGCTTTCTGGTGCGGGGCGCAGCTTTCTACAACTTGTCAGCGCCTTAGATGGTTTCAAAACAAGCCAGAGCCCGGAAAGGGGTATCGGCTTTGCGGTTCTGAATGCACAACGGATGACAACTACCCTCGCACCAATGCGCACGCGTGCCCCTGGCAAGGGGGCCTGTGCTTCAGGTTTGTGGGAGACGAACTGGAGGGCTCGTTCTGACACATCGAAGCGGGCGATGAGACCGGACCCGCCAAACGCAAGCCTCGTGCTCGTGAGTTGTCGTTTAGTCCCACGCACTCTGGGGCGCTTACCTTCCGACATGCCAGGCCTGGCCCCCTGGTTGGCTTTTCTTGAACCATCCTCAGATGACTTGCATGGGAGACGCCAGCGCCCTGAGCGCCCAGAGCAAGCCATGAAAAACGACGATGCTGACAGAGTCTGTGCAAAGGACAAAACGCTGCATGCGTGGTTCAGCTAATATGCTGAAGGGTGCCCAGGCAAACTATGCAACACAGTATTCTACTCATGCGCTGGCCCTCTGTGTTCTCTCCCTCAATCGCCTAAACATGGAGACGCAAGGCCAGAAAGCCACGATAAAACGCAAGAAGGACCCAAACCAAAGCGCGACAACATGTTAACGCGTTGCTTTTTGCATGTTCTGGGACAACCTTACTCACTGGCGCGTGCTTTTTGTTTGCTTGGGGCTCTTGAGTTTTTTCTAGGGGTTCCATCAACAAATGCCCATTCCTGAACTCAAAGAAACACAACACCCAACATGGAAGCAAAGGCGGTTGATCCTGAGAACGGCTGCTGAGATTATCGATGCTTTGTTGCGCGCCAGCAAAGCCACAAACACACCTACACTTTCACAACGGCGAACAACAAACAACAGGTGTAGATGAGCGCGGTTGACCCACAGCATGGTTGCTGAGTTGTTCTTCCGGTTGCAGGGGTTCTTGACGCATCTGGATCTCCATCACAAACCCACAACAGCCGAGAACTCCCAAAGCAAAACCACATGTCAGGAATGATGGCTGACCCCAAGCATGGCTGCTGAGAAGTTTCTTGTTGTTGTTTAGCTTGCTTGTTTCTGAAAGTGTTCTGTAAGGATGGTCTGCAAAAAAAGGAAAATAAAATGATGAACCATGTGTATTTGCCGGCAGCATGCGTTGCTGCAAAAGAGCAGCTCTAAAAACCCCCCGTTACATCCCAAGCAAGAGTTGTGTCATAGCAAGGCGCCGCGTAAGCAAAACCCTGCAAGGCGTAAGCCGGCGTAAGCACTTTTTGGGGAAACAAGCTGCGTAAGCACCTGCGTAAGCTCTTCTTCGTGATTGCTTGGTAAGCTTTGTAAGCATGCTCGGAAGAGCTGTGCTTATGAGATTATTGGTGGCTTGTGCTGTTGCAACCTAGTCGAGCTTGGCAACTTGCCCGGAGACTTTGGCTGCAGGAAGTCGTCTAAGACCGCTTGTGCACATCAATAAGAAAACAAAACCAGCAGAACCTTGATTGGGAGCTCTTGGGGCTCATGCTAGGTGCTGTTGCAACCTTGACTAGGACAAACAAAGGCTTCTGAAACCGCTGATCTAGGAAAACTGAAGGGGCTCGGGCGCGTAAGCTCGCGTAAGCAGGCGCGTAAGGTCCGCGTAAGCTCGCCTAGCTGGGCTGCCCGCTAGCCCTCGCGATGGATGCCGCTGCCGCATAACCCGTTTCCTGACTTGCAGCAATAACAACAATGCCAAGCCGCTGAGACTCGTGAGGGTAGTTCTTCGTCATCAGCTCTGGCGTCTGCATGAGAAGAGGAGCTCGCGTAAGCAATTCTTGAGGGGAAACGCTCAGAACGCCCACGCGTAAGCCATGCGTAAGCTTAACATGCTCGCTGACTGCCGCGTAAGCTAAAACATGGGTCGCGTAAGGAAAGCGCAAGCTCGCGCGTAAGCAACTTGATACGACATAGGGATTCATGGGAGGTTTATAGAGTCGCCCAACAGAACCCCAAGCCGACAGCAGCTTGCGGGAGTTTTGAAGTTTTGGGCTCAGTTGAGCGTAACTTTCAAGCCGGATTTTTTGGTAGCGTTTAGCGCAGGACGCGCGAAAGTTTCAAGAAAGTCGATGGACCTCCCGGCCAATTTCCGGTCCTTTGCTGCTGCGCGAACGACGAGCTGCAGGCTTCCATGCTAGCACAGTTGCGACTGTCGAGCTGGGGGCTGCGGCAATGCACTCATGTACTACTTGTGTGACGAATGTTATGGAAGTAACCCCGCCAAGCTCCGAAACGCGGGTCGCAAAAAATACTTTTCCCCGCGAAGATGGAGTTTCCGGGAGCATCGAATTTCAGACAACTGTCACGTACGCTTACGCGCACACATGCATTGAGGCCTACATTCAGGCATGCATAAATGCATCATACGTATGTACGCACATACACATACATGCATGCACACACGCGTACGTACACACATACACACACACATGCACACACACACATGCACACGCACATACATACATACATACATACATACATACATACATACATACACACATACATACATACATACATACGTACACACACAAACATACAGACACACATACATACTCACGCACACACATACGTACATGCATAAACACATACATACACACATACACACATGCGTACATATATACAAACACACACATATACATACATACATACATACATACATACATACATACATACATACATACATACATACATACATACATACGGACACACATACGGACATACATACATACATACACACATACATACGCAAACCTAGTTCTTTTTAAGTCGTACAAGAGCAATGCGTCATTGTGAACTGCTGTTTACCGATGACGAAGGTGCGCTGAGTACATAAGCAATATCCGAATATTTGAAAGAACCCTCTGGTTACCTTTTGGCCCCAAACTTGTAGCCGTTGTCATGCTTTCCGGCACTCGCGCACTGGCTCAAGACACAATAAACTCATTCATAGCACCACGTGAGTGAGAGAGCGTGAAAGGATCCTCGCTGCCATTCCGTCCGATTCGCACTACACTGCAGGTCCAGCTGGGCAAGCGGGCAGTCTCTTTACTGCTGCGCAAATCCTACACGCTTCCTGGTTCAATACCGGATGTTGTTGCAGCCAACTGTGCTGTTCCAACCTTTGCGGGGAGGGCTTCTGTTTCCTGGTTATCATGCACATATTTGCTCAGGTGGCACCACTGGAAGACACATTGCAGAATGTAGAGATCAGGACAAAGATCGAGAAGGCCCGCGATACTGAAGAGCAGCGCTTTGGGGCCCGCCAAGGAGGTGGATACTCAGGCGGTTTTCCGACGCCCCGGCACAACTGTTCTGTAGTTGAATGGCCCGTCTCTTTCCCTTCTCTTGTCGTTTCCTTTCTGTCACCGACGGCGAGGGAAATGAGCCGGGAGGATGAGAGAAAGAGAAAGAGACAAGGGAGAGAAGGGAAAAGGAAGGAGATGGCAGGCTCATCCTAAAGTCTTTCCATTGCCTGCCAAGAATGCCCTTCCTTTCCCTTCCTCCATTCATTCCTTCCGTCTCCTTCCTACCGTCTCTCGTCTACCGGAATTACATGGAGGAGACAGAGATAGGTGAAGGGACGGGCCCGGCTGACATGAAAGACTTAGTGACCAGCCGGCCTCTCCGCTCTATTCCCTCTCCCAATCTCTGAGATCGATTGGAGGGAATTAGACCGAAGGGAAAGGAACGACAAGAGAGAGAAGAGATAAGAGAGAAGGAATAATGGATTGGATGGAGCGGAGGCGAGAGGAAAGGAATGGCTCCCGTTCGCTTCACTCTCTCACAGACTCACTCACCGCTCCCTTCGGTCTCCCTGTCTCCTATCTGCTGTCAGCCATCTTCCAGCATCTAGAATCCATCCCGCCTCTCAGTCTTCTCTGTGAGGCATGAAGGGATGGATGTGTGTGTGAGGAAGATAAATGCCTGGAATTAAGGGACTTTCTTTCACTATCACATGCCAGGCATTCCTCACACACTATCCCTTCCTCCTGTCTTACCTCCCTTCTACCTCTGTCCACGACGGTAGGGAGGAGACAGTGGAAGAAGGGGCATCTCTTTCCATTACACCTCCTCATCCTATCTCTCCCAACCTTCCAGTTCCTTCCGTCGGTTGGTGTCAGGATGAGGTGTAATGGTTAAAGAGATGGGGAAGCGATAGGAAAGGATTGGATCGCTTCTCACCCATCAATATCTCTCCCTTCATTCCTTTCCTTTTCCTTTTCTCTTTTCACCCTCATTTCTCCCGCTGGCGGGTGATGGAAATGGGTGAAAAGAAGGGAAAAGAGATGAAAGGAATGGGAACGAGAGAAGCGAGTGGACAGTCTTCCTTCATCCATCCCCATTCATGCCTTTGGTGTCTTGGCTTTTCCGTTTCCTTTCACTCACTGCCAAGACTAGAAATGGAAAGGCATGAAGGAATGGGGAAGGAATAGATGAAGGAAGCCCATTCTCTCCTTTACCTCCCATGCCACCGTCTGGTCTGTTCCTATCCTAGACTGTGTGGCATGGTGAGGAGAGAGAATGGAGAAGGGAGATAATGCATGACATGAAGGACTGACCCAACGGTAGGAAGGGAAGGACAATATGAATGCAGCCATCTCCCGCCTATCTCTCTCTTCCTTCGTCAATGCAATGGTGGCTAGGGAAGACTTGACCGCTGACAGCATGCCCACTCTCTTCGTTCGTTAACATCTCCTACATGATGCCGGGAAAGCCGGAGGCGGGAGGGACGGCATGGCCCATCTCTTTCTCCTTTCTGTCGCCATCGATGATCCAGAGGAAGAAGAGAGGGGGAAAAGAAAGGCCATCTCCTCGCCTCCACGCTGCAGAGAGAAGAATTACTTGACTGCAGCATTCATTGCTTGGAGGCGATCCAATGGACACCTTCTACCTCCCTTCGTTCGGGAAGGACCACGAGTTAAAAGACGAGGATAAAGGCCTTCCCACCCTCTTCTCTTTCTCTTATCCCTCTCTTTTCTCTCGGTTTCTTTTCTCTTCTTACCATA